GGGGTACAGGCCAGAGGCTCAGGGGCAGTGAGAGGCTTCACCAGAGACAGAGTGGGGAACAGAACAGGCAGATCAACGAAGTACACTGCTGAGGGGAGCCGGGGCGGGTCAGGAGAGGTCTGCCACGCCATGTGGTCACTTCTGGGGCAGGTGGGAATTGAACTCATGCGGAAGTGGCTTTAGATTCTCAGTGCTGTGCTTTAACCCGCTGCGCCACCAGGGAGGGCCCTCTTGTCAGAATATTTTAATAGCCAACCCTAGGCCCCCTCTTCCATGAACCCATCATCTCCAACTAATTACATTGAATTTACTACTGGTCTTGATTTACTCATTTGACTAATGGTGGTGGTGGGCTTATGAGTTTCTACTTGGGTTTCCCTCCTATAAAAACTCTTAATCAACTAGTCAAGGAATATTTTACAAGTTATACCAACTACCATCTGTGTGTACTCCAATTAAATATCAGCAACTGGAAGAATGACCTTTGAATTCAGTAGACTCACTGTAAGCCAGATCTGGGCCATGATCCCATACGTTACCTGACCACCTCCCCTCCTCCCTCCCATAAAAACCTACTCTAGAAGGAAATCATATAACTGTTCCATGCCCTCAGTAAATAATGCCAGCTCATACCCAGTAGCCAACAGTGCTCAGAAGGTATTCCACTTACCCAGTGTACAACTATCTAAATGAATGGGCATAGTTCTTTTGGGGGAAAGATTCAGGGTATCACTAGCTACATATTTGCCATAGTATTTATTGAATGTCCCTTTTCCTGGAATCCTGGTCTCTCCTTCATTTAATGGATTCTGGATCAGAAAATACTAACATCTGATTTGGTAATAGGTGCTAAGCCCCTGCTACTAGGAAGAAATTGATAGCTCATGGAGAGAACACTGGGATTTGGGACTACATACAGATCCTGTGACCTTGAGCTCTGTGACTGTCCCCTCACCTGTGAAGGCAGCCTAAGAAACCTATCTCATATAAGTTTTATGAGAACTAAATGCAGTCAAGTAAAATGAAAATAAAAATAAAAGTTGAGCAGGATTTCAATTACTAAAAATATTGCTCACTCTGGTATAAGTGGGCCCTGTGAGTTAGTTCTTGCTAGCAGATTATTAACACTTAATACCTGGTGGGTGTCATTGTGGTCTTATTTCATCAGTAGGCGTATGAAATAGAACTTACAAATATTTGTGGCATAAATAAATGTGATAATAGTGAACAATGACACTTCCATTCTATCACCACTTGAAGGAAAGTAGTCAGTTGGAAAGGAAGTGACAGGAAATCGTTACATGGGCTAAACTCATTCTCTCTTCTATATCATTAGTTCCTTTAAAAAAAGAAAGATTCATTCTAGTGATGACACTCATCAGACACTGATTCTGTGCACAATTGTAATTCCAAACAATTTCATTTGTCTGTAGTGAAATAGATAGTCTCTTATGAAAGACAGCGTGGTTCAGATCAGCAAGCACTAACAGGCAGGCAGGCATTGGGGTCAGTCCATGTGGGTTAAACTTATCTTATTCACTTGCCAGCATGATGACTCTGGACAAGTTATTTAACTTCTGTTTTCTATTTTTATAGTGAGCATCATAATAAGATTCGCTTTAGAAGGTATCATGGATTGATGAGATAATGCAGTAAATACTAGCTAGCCTAACTACATTTATCAGTTGTTTGTTCTTGGAAAATCATTCAAATCTCTCTTACCTTCCATTTGCATTTTTTTTTAAAGATTTATTTATTTATTCATACAGAACTGGGGTATAGGCCAGAGGCTCAGGGACGGTGAGAGGCTTCACCAGAGACAGAGTGGGGAGCAGAACAGGCAGATTGACGAAGTACACTGCTGAGGGGAGCAGCGGGCGGGTCAGGAGAGGTCTGGCTCGCCATGTGGTCTCCTCCGGGGCAGGCGGCAGGCGGGAATCGAACTCATGCGGAAGTGGCTTCAGATTCTCAGTGCTGTGCTTTAACCCACTGAGCCACCAGGGAGGGCCTCCATTTTCATTTTTTATAAAATGGGACTGATATGAATTCACAGAGATATGACTACTCATGGGATAATATATGCATGGAGAAGTTTAGTATCTGTGACCTCTTTCTCTTAAATTCTCTACAGAACACTCAGATCTCAGGAGTTGTTTTTTGCTATGGAACAAGCTTGATTGAATTAGAAGTACTTGTGTAAAAGAATGAGAATATAGAAAAGAAATTAGTGGTATGTAGATGTTTAATTATAATATAAAACATCAAAAATATTGATAGAATACTGAATATTTTAATGTTGTAATTTTGATGAGGGAGAAACACATTGACTGTCTGATTCTCCTATACTTACAATGGCAAGTGAGAATGGTCATTTCATGTATATTCACTTTAGTAGCTAGAGTTTATAAGCCTTTTTTTTCTGGATTTTAATGATTATATACTTAAAGATTGTCTTGTCATTCATGACTGCTCAGTTATAATAAGGAACTACATAATGCTTTAATAGGTGAAAAGTAAAAAAAAATACACAAAAAATATTCCATTGCTTGAAATTTTAAACTTTCTGTGTACATATTTTAGGCTAGACATATATTTGGATAGTCTAACCTTATTTTTTTTCAACATCCTAAGTTATACTGTCACAGTATCATTTGTAGAAGTAGACACTTCTGGAATATTATATGCAATTGTCTATACCAGCTTTTAATCAGGATGATAAATCATGTTGATTTAGCTCTTCTAAGAGATTGTCCAAATGCTTCTTTCAGAACATAGAGAAAGGGAACTTTTTCAAATGACCAAGAGATCAGTGCCTGCGCCCACTGTCCCACTTTGCTTAGAACTAAGGGATATCCGAGGGTATACAGCTTCCACTGGGCAAATGAGAAAGTTCTGGGCACTAACCCAGCATCTACCCCACAGACAGAGTCTGGACTCTATAGCCCACCCTTACCATGCTTTAAGCATTATTAAAATGCCTCCTTTTCATAAAAATGGTACCGCAAGGAAGAATTTTCATATAAAATTTATGAATGTCTATTCAGGCACATGCAAAAATATTCCTATAGAAGGGATATGTTAAAATAATTCATAAACATTTCTCAAA